AAGCCTATATAACAAGATCATAGCCTTGATTATATTTTGATCGTTTTACGTTTTTATTGTAGTTGAACCCACTTCATTTTGACATATTCCGGATTTTGAAAGTCTTCAAAGCCGAGTTCAAGGACGATATTCACAGGCTCACAGCTTACGTTAAGTGGCTTTCTCATTCTGAATCCATCATAAATATTACTGATGTCCCATACACGTAGATGTACAAACCAAATATAAAATAACTTATCCCTGCTTCGCTTATCGTACTAATAGTCTACTACGTAACAGGACTACAAATCAAGTTGTATATCATGTATGATGTATCTACCACGTCCTCTTCCATGAGTAACATAGGCATCGTGATTATAGTGTATCATCGCCTTTAGCCATTATTCAGTCCCTCGTTTAACTAACCCAACTCAAAATTTAAAATGTTAATGTCGATTTCAATTTTGTTGGTCAATGATATGATGTAAAATTTATATTGGAGGAGTACGTAGAAATCATATTGAACAACTAAATTTATGAACGGAATGCGGTTTTTTTTTTTTGACATAAAATAGAAAATGGAGATGCGGGGAATGCGGTTAAGAAATAATATAATCAAAATGATATATAATTCACCACCTCGGAATAAACCAGTAAGGAAATTATGCTGGCTAAAATTAATCTTGATGGACACACACTATCCACCCATTATCTAATTTATTTGTATTTTATTTACAAGTCGACTGTGTTAAGTAAAAAAATCTGCTCCTTGTTTCTTCAGTGGTATTACTTTCTTCCTCCTTTTATTAATTTAATTTAATTTTACCCTTTTCCTCACAACCCACCAAGATAAATAGGTACATGGTATCCCCTGAATTCAACACATTCACACAACAAATATTATCATAAAGAAAATAAAAACAATGAGTGAGCTTTTCGACTCTCTCCCCACTTGGGATCTCCATAACATTGGATCACTCTTCAACCAAAACTTCAATTTAGGTATATACAACTAATACACACTCTTATATATGTATGATTTATGTTGGGCTTGTTGATATACATATGAGGTTGGCTTCATGGCTCATGCAGACACAATAATGTATCATTTTGTTCAAAGATGAATGTATTTGTATTTAGTGATTCGAGAAATCCAATACACTAATGCATGCGAGAAATTTGGCCGTGCAATGTACTTGTAGATGCATGTTACGACATTGATGAATCGCCAGAGCATGTTCTCCATTCGCCGGAGGTGGATATTATCGGCGACGTATCCACCGGCTACCTCGAAGATGCACTTATCGAATTCAGTGTGAAAAGGAAACGGAGACGTCTTTCGTTCAACGCTGAGGACAAGCCACATAATCACTTTGGCAATTTTCAGGTTTACATAATTCTCTGTTTTTTTTTCTTCTTCAATATTTTTTTTTTAAAAATTCTGGTTAATGAACATTTTTAAAAATTCTTGTGAAAATGATTTGGTTGACTGCGCAGAATGATTGGGGAATCTCTGAGATTTATAGCTGCACGAGTAGTCAGTTTGCAGGTGAGACCTACTTCTTTATAATTGTCACCCATATAATATATAGATTTATATATATGCATTTTGTTAGTAGTAGTGGTCTGAACGAGTTTATTTTTTTTTAACTTGATTTTCTTATACATTGAGCAGAAGAATCTCCAAATTCATCCATCAAAAAAATTTCAGATACCTCAAATCATTCGAAACACTCTCTCGAGCCTTCGTCCACTTCAAGTATGTATGCTTTTCATTTCCTCCAAAATAAATGTATAATACGGGATCAAATTATTTTTTCTCGCAATTCTGCATACTAGGATATTCTGTGTTAATATATTATATACTAATTCAACACGTGTACAGAGAAAAATTACAATGACAAGAAGAAGAGAGTGGTGTATCCGTTTGGAGTGGTGAAACCAGGTGGTAGAGAAGAAGATGTAACCCTAAATGACATAAATAAGAGGATTCTCATGCCGTCATCTCGGCCAGTTCGGCATCCGGTTGGAGCATTTGCATGCCGTCCGTGTCTCTCTGCTCATGGACCGGGTCTTTCAGGCAAAGCCGTGGTTGCTTTCACGAAGATACAAACATTAGGGAGGGGTACAATTACTATAATAAGAACTAAGGGGTGAGATATGTAATATTGGCAGTAATACTGGCGATCTCTTATAGATAGTTTGTAATCGAGACGATGAGACAAAGTTAATCATTGGTTGGCATGTTTAAACCTGTTGTTGTATATAATGAAAAAGATGGATATATATATATATGCATGGTTATATTATGAATTATTGTATAGTTTCTTCACTAAAAACCAATATTTTTATACAAACTTATTATCAACCAAAATTTGAATCAACAAAAAACTCATAAAAATTATTCGTTTTGGTCTATTATGTTTTGCATGCTGTGCTTTTTTGTTCTTTACTCTTTTTTCCCATAGCGACCCCTTTGTTCTTTATGGAAATATTCAGTAGAGAGTAGAGACTAACAAACCAATAAAGCCCCCCATAAATAAACGAAGCGTGAAGAAGAATAAATACTAAAGAACATAAAGTTAAAGAGATGAACGTATTGAAAAGGAAGTAAAAAAAAGTGAGAGTATATAGGACCTTAAGATAATGAAAATTTCCAAGAGTCATTACCATCTTACATATATGTTCAAAATACTTCTTTTTGTTATTTTGCCATGGAGTAGTGCCATAAGAGCACTTCCACTGAGAGTTCAAATGGGGTTCACACGGAAACCAAAAAAAATAAAATAATAAAATAACAAAAATCTATAAACCCTTCTCTCCTAAAGTTCACCCGGGTGAACCCCTCTCTCCTAAGGTTCAACACGTGTCGGTCCGGGATTGGTTTAGTTCTTTTTTTTTTCTTTTTTTTTTAAAAAAAAAATTCAAAAAAAGAAAAGAAAAATTTTAATAATAAAAAATTGATTCAATGAACCCCAAGAGGGGGTTCATTGATGTGGATGCTCAGTAATAAAAATTTAAAGAATAAATTTTAAATTCGTATAAACTGGAGGATTTCTAACTGATGTATCCATATAAACCGGAGGATTTCTAATTGATGTATGAAGATTCTAAAACAATACTGGAAGTTACGAGATATACAGAGGAGTCAGTCTGCTTAGGGAAATTTGAATTTAAATTTATAATTCGAATCACTCTTTAGTTCAACTTTTGTTTTAAGGTGTATTGATTTCTTAAAATGAAACCAAATCCAACATAATTTATGATAATAACATCGTCATGGGACCGATACGTCGAAGAGGACCCAGCTCGATTTGTCATCAGTCAGATACACGGCGTCATGTTCATGTAATCTGACGTTTGTCGGCATGAGCTGTACGGCAGAAAGAGAAGTTAGCACTGCTGTTTTTTTTTTATCCATGTAATAGGAAGTGTTTAGCATGTGCAAACAAACACAAATATCTTCAGAAAGTGATGTGAATTGGTTAACAAATTAAACAATACCTTTTTTTTTTGTTCAACAAATTAAACAATACTTAATGCTCTCTTTGTTAGTAGACTAATCGAACATTAGTTACTAGTTTACTGGTCATTACCATTATTTTTTCCTCCTGCAAAGGACCAGTGTAGCTTTTGACCTTGGTGGCTTGGGTCCACTTCATAAGACCACTAGCTAAATTTAATAATAAAGAGAAAAAAAACTATAATATTTTGAATGATCTCTCCACAAGTCTTTTTATTAGAAAATTACAGTGTAATTCAATAGAGCAAGTCAAAGATCTTGTGAAGTTACATTAATTTATAATGAAACAAATAAATTTCAAATCAAACGTGTGAAATTCTAACTAGAAGTGTATTTAGTATCCCGTTAAAAATCACAATGTTTGACCTCACACTGGAGTTTGTGTATTACCTAAGTACAAGACTACTTTTTTTTTGGGTCAAATAGTACTAGATTACTTAACTTTTGATCTAATAAAGTTTAACTTGAGTAAATTTTTATTTATTTGTGTATTAGAACATTTTCATGAGAAGGTTCTGAAGATTAATATCTCATAAATAAATAGAGCCTGCCGTGTAAAGACTTCATTAATTTGACACAGAGATTCATTGGACCAAATTAATATCTTAGATTCTCAGTTCAGGCTAGCTCAGAGCATCTCCAATGTAAAACTCCATTTTTTTCTCCAAAATGGAATAAAAGAGAATATGAAGTAAAAATGTTCAAATCCCACTCCATTTTTCACTCGATCATGGAGTGATGAACAAACAAAAAACAGATTACTCTATTTATAGAGTAAACTCTATTATGGAGTAGAATATGGAATAGGGTTGGAGTGTTTCTACTCCATATTCTTTTTTACTTTATTTTAGAATAAAAAATGGAGTTGGGTTGGAGATCCCACATTTTCGTAGTTTGACGTTAGAAATTGCATTGGAAGAATACAATGGAAGTGAACCACTTAAAAAGGCCGTCTTTCATCCTTAAATCGCTCTTAACAATTACAATGGGTTTTACCAAAATAAAATCCAATGGGTCGAAATTACAAAGCCCAACATAAAGCCCATTAAATACCTGAACACAACTGTCGTGTTCATTAATCTCCTAGGGCTCAATTCACTTCACCTCAGGAGGATTTCTCCATACTCCTTCCCTGTCTTCTCTATCGAAATCGTCTTTCCAAGCTTCTCAAATCTCTAACTGCTTCTCCTTCTCGAGGCGGAAGCTCTTCCTTAACAGCTCAGGTACGAAACTTCTCATCTCTATCTCATAAACCCTAAGCATAGTCCCCCCTTTGAGTAGAATCGATAGTTTCTAGACCACGAGTTCAATTAGGTCAAAACGAAAGATCTGATTCGAATCCACTCGCAGGCACACACAAAACAAAATGTTCAGTTCGTCGCAGATACTCCCACTCGAGGCTCCTCCCACGGACGGAAACCTAGGTCCACTTCCTCCGTCGCAGCTAACGGATCAGGAAGCGGAAGAGAAAGAGCTTCAAAACAGCTCAAATCAAGCTCCTGAGTCTGTAGCGACTCACACGAGGACTATAGGGATCATCCACCCGCCTCCGGATATCAGGAGCATCGTCGAGAAGACTGCTCAGTTCGTCTCCAAGAACGGTTTGGAGTTTGAGAAGAGGATTATCGCTAGCAATGCGAAGAACGCGAAGTTCAACTTCTTGACTAGCTCTGATCCTTATCACGCTTTTTATCAGCATAAGCTCTCTGAGTATCGTGCTCAGAATGAAGATGGAGAAGGTCAGGGTAATGATATAGATGGTGCAAATCTACAGCTTGATGTTGGTGGTGGTGGTGGTGGTGGTGAGGGTGATGGAGGTGAGGGGAAACCTGACCTTCAGGCTCAGTTTCGGGTTCCGCCGAAGCCTTTGGAGCCTCCTGAGCCTGAGAAGTATACAGTTAGACTTCCTGAAGGGATTACAGGGGAGGAGCTTGAGTATATTAAGCTTACTGCGCAGTTTGTGGCGCGGAATGGGAAGTCTTTCTTGACTGGGTTGCAGAGTAGAGAGAGTAACAATCCTCAGTTTTATTTCATGAAGCCGACTCATAGTTTGTTCTCTTTTTTCACTGCTCTGGTTGATGCGTATTTCGATGTGTTGAAGCCTCCGGAAGACGTGAAGGAGAAGCTGAGGAAGAGTGCTGCCGATTTGACTACTGTTCTTGAGCGTTGCTTGCATCGTCTTGAATGGGATCGTTCTCAGGAGCAGCAGAGGAAGAAGGAAGAGGACGAGAAAGAGCAGGAGAGAGTGCAGATGGCTATGATTGATTGGCATGATTTCGTGGTTGTTGAATCGATTGATTTTGCTGACGAGGAGGACGATGAGTTGCCGCCGCCGATGACACTGGAAGAAGTCATAAGGAGGAGCAAAGTCTCAGCAGCGATGGAAGAAGATGAAGTTGTGGAGCCTGGCAAGGAAGTGGAGATGGAAATGGATGAAGAAGAAGTCAGGCTTGTTGCGGAAGGAATGAGAGCAGCGAACTTGGAAGGGAATGGTGGGTCTGTAAAGATTGAAACTCTGAACGATGAGGAAGCACCTATGAGGATTGTTAAGAACTGGAAGAGACCAGAAGATAGGATCCCGACAGAGAGAGATCCTACTAAAGTTGTTATATCTCCAATTACTGGCGAGCTAATTCCCATCAACGAGATGTCTGAGCACATGAGGATTTCGCTTATTGATCCTAAGTTCAAAGAGCAGAAGGATCGGATGTTTGCTAAGATTCGTGAGACTACTCTTGCACAAGACGACGAGATTGCTAAGAACATAGTGGGACTTGCGCGTCTGCGTCCTGATATTTTCGGGACAACTGAAGAAGAAGTCTCAAATGCTGTAAAAGCAGAGATTGAGAAGAAGAAAGATGAGCAGCCAACGCAAGTAATATGGGATGGTCACACAGGAAGTATAGGCCGCACAGCAAACCAAGCCTTGGCTCAGAATGCTAATGGAGATGAGCAAGGTAATGGCGTTTATGGAGATCCCAATAGCTTCCCTGGTCCAGCTGCTCTTCCTCCTCCTCGACCAGGTGTCCCAATAGTCCGGCCATTGCCACCACCTCCTAATCTCGCCTTGAACCTCCCTCGCCCGCCTCCATCTGTTCAGTACCCCGGTCCGCCTAGGCCATTAGGTGTTCCAATGATGCAACCAATGCATCCACAGCACCAGCTCTCGATGCCTGGGCCACCTGGACACCAACCGATGATGATGAACCGGCCTCCACAAATGCAGCATGGCATGCCTGTGCCGCCTCCACCGGGTTCACAGTTTGCTCATATGCAAGTTCCAAGACCTTATGGTCAGCTTCCACCTATGCATGGGATGATGCAACAACCACCTATGCATGGGATGCCTCCCCCACCACCACATGAGGAGGCACCACCGCCTCTTCCTGAGGAGCCAGAGCCAAAGAGACAAAAATTCGACGAGGCAGCTCTTGTTCCAGAAGAACAGTTCCTCGCTCAGCATCCGGTAATGTTTTCTCTAAAACCCTGCAGTCTCCTTTTCTTTTGTTTTTAATTATCTGAGTTGGATCTTACATATTTTGTTTTATATGTATGCAGGGTTCTGCTACGATCAGAGTCTCTGTTCCAAATGTGGATGATGGGCAAGTCATTGAGATCACAGTGCAGTCATTATCCGAAAACGTGGGAAGTTTGAAAGAGAAGATAGCTGGTGAAACACAAATTCCAGCGAACAAACAGAAGTTGAGTGGAAAAGCTGGGTTCTTAAAGGACAACATGTCACTGGCACATTACAATGTCGGAGCAGGTGAAATCTTAACATTGTCTTTGAGAGAACGTGGTGGGAGAAAGAGATAGAGGGAGTAAGCTTGTGGATGCAGAGACATGCATTTTATTTCTTCTTTAGATGTTTTCAAAACTATATGTACTGCTATCTTTTTGACACATCTTTACTCTTGGCCCATCGCATCTACTATCTATGGAAGTTTTAGATTGAAGAAGAAAGTTTTATTAATGACTAAAAGTTCGTTTCGGATTTGCAGCACATGTTTCTTCTGATCATAAGCTCTCAACCAAACTATTGGTTTAACCATGGTACTATATATTTTTACTTGCTTCACTTCATTGTATATAACAACGTAAAGATAGATGAGACATATTTGAAGCAATATGAAACATAAATAGAAAATAAACCAAACTTTAAGTTTCTATAATGAGATTTGCGACTACACAAAAGAATAAGTAAACACTAAAGTGGCCTATACATAACTACGTACTACAAACATTTTTGATGTACCCTCTGGATTATGACTCTGAAACCATCTTGTATCATATGGGTCGCTGACTTTACTAAGAAACAAGTTAAAAATAGGAAAACAGAGAGTTGGGCTTCATCCTTATTTGGTCGATCCTAGAATATAATAAAGTTTCCCTACTGCTTGATGATTTCAAGAGAAGGTGTGACAAAAAAGAAGCTGATCGGAGACGAGACAGTCTGCTTTTCCGGGAAGAGAAACAAAGACAAGAAGAGAAAACAACTCTCAAAACTCTTCTCAGGACTTCTCCTCTCCTTGGGACTAGACTAGTTTCTCTTGCAACCATTTCTTTTTCTCTCTTCCTACCCGGTTTATATCGGTTTGATTTGGTTTAGTTTTAGAGATATGTGTCTGCAAGCTGGGACTGCCGACGTGAGTTTAATATAGTGAAGTGCTGAAGCATTGTAATGATTTACAGAGAACGCGTGAAGATTCTCAAGACGCGTTGGCTCGTTCTTATTTTTCTTGAGTTCAAACAAATTCATTTATCATTTTGGAAATTATATATATTGGGATCTAATATCTCTTGCATAGAAGTGATCAGTGTAGGTTTAGTTTTGAATTGTTACTGTTCAGAGTTTGAAGTGGTCCTATACTCTCTGCTCTTCTTTCTTTCTACGGTACTAGTTAACGCGTTTTTTTTTGAATTAGGAAATCGACCTTTGGTTTTGGAAGTTTTGTTATCAATATTACTTTCCCTTATTCCGAATTAAACCATAGCTTGGAATTTATTTATTTATTTATTTTGTACCTTCGAATCTGAATGTTGTTTCGTGCTTACATTTCTCTATGATTAATAAATAAAAAGAGACTTGAATAACCTACGAACAAAGTAATGATGATATACTATTTGATTATATACCAGGTAGTATTTTTAACATTTGAGAGTTATTTAAAAAGGAAATATTTGTCAATATACATGGATTATACTTTATAAACTTGTATCAGAGGTTTTAGGTTTATCACTTATGTACAAAATAATTGTAGAACACTGTTGCTTTTTCCTTCTGTCAACTACCTTTTGGGAAGTATTAACTGTGGAATTAATTAAAATAATTGAATCTTTGGTGATTTTGGGAGAAATAGTTAACTTATACAAATGCTTAATTTGCTAAGGTAGACAGATTCACCAAACTTAATTTACATTTTCCACTTACATATTTATTATGAACAACTAACTATACGTATAAACTCGGATCCTGAAATAAACAAGTAAAAAAGTTAAGAAAAAGTTCCTGATCGGTCCTGAAAGTCTCCTCCTCGAGTTGGTGCTGACAAGAAGACCTAAAGTCTTAGTTACTTGAATTCAGAACCAACACGAAAGGTTCAAAACCCACTTGAAGTTTGAGCCAACATTGCTTATAGACTCAGAGAGCTCTCAACAAAGGATTGGTGGTGATCAGATCGTTTACATTTGGAAGTTTTAGTAAAGGAGGATTTCTTAGGAGCTTCTTCAGGTCAGACTGAAGAATTAAGAGATAATAATATAAAGCAAGTATCTGGCAAAGAACAGTGAGGGGTAAAAGAAACCTACAATTGTGAGGTACGTACCTGGACAGCATCATGAAGATGAGAAACCTCTTTTCCTTGTAACAGTCCGACCTTCTCAAGGTTTTTGATATAACCATTTAGATGATTCAGTACATAATGTGCGACTTGTCTTGTTTTAAGAACACTCAAAACCTGGACGCTCACAAAGTTATAAATTAATACCTGAGGTGTTTTCATGGGTTTCAAGAAAAAGATGTATGGTTTTCAAACCTGAGGAAATGAATCGCGGACTTCTTCCAAGAACTGTTTTGCTTCTTCTCCTTCTACCTCACTTTCACTGATTACAATAGAAGCAATGTCATTGTTGCCTGCGTTAAGAAAATATATATGACCATGATTAAATGATGCAGCAAAGGTTTTCATATGAGGCTCGCAATAGATAGATAAAGAAAAACAGTAACAGGGTGATGTGCACCTAGAAAGCCATGCAATTGATGTCGCGCTATCCTATGGGCACGGAGAAATGCAGAGGAAATGTAGCAAGCAGATTCGAGTCTTTCAACGATTAAATAACTGACCAGCTTGCGGGGAATAATTCTTGATTGAAGAAACTTGTAGTACTTTGGGAAATGAACACATGGTTTTAAACCTCTCCAGTCGCATAAAGACTCCGTAGAAACAAGGTCGAGTGCCTCATCTACTGATCGCATCAAAACGTTGGCAGTACTTTGTATAATTTTCCCATCATCAAGCATCTCCCAGTAAGCTGCCTGGACACCTGATACATCCAAGAGTCTCGAATCAATACCTAGCTAAATAGTTCGACAACCAGAAGATTCATGTACGCATTGTGAAATACCATTTAAGAAGCGTATACGTATGTCCATTATATTCGTTGGGTCAACATTGCCAGCTTCACACCCATCATGAGGATTAACTTGTTCCCCTTGTAGATTTTTTAAACTTGGAATATGTCCTATAACTGTATGCCAGTCAGCAGATCCAAGCTCCTCGTCATCTCCTAGATTTTCAAAAGCTTTGAAGGCGGTATTCATCATTTCAAACTTTGTATACTCCAGTATTCTTTTCTGCAACAGAAAAATACAAATCAGAGCGGTAAATACAATCATTATATTTCGGTAGCAACAGTTGCAAACAATGTGTTGGCATGTACATTTTAAGGATCAGTAACGATTAAGAATCAGACTGAATCCAATATATATCATTACCGCATGATAAATAAACACAGAAAGACTTGATATAAGATACACACACTGTGGAAAGATGCAGTCACTTGTCTATGTGTAAGCACAAACACAGATGATCAGAAGTTCCATAATTTGCATCTAACTTTTGAAAAGTAACAGTACAAGAGAATATAGGATTAAAATTCAGACCTTGGTGCCCGTTAAAGTGTCCATGCGAAGAAGGTGCAAGAGTAATTGCGTAGTGGATCCATTAACTACCAAGGTTAGGAACACAATCCCACCTGTCAAGAATAGAAACTACAAAACAGCTGAAATGTCAAGATAACATAAAGAATCACTAAAAAAGAAATTCAAAAGTAGCTCATAACGTGTTTCAAAACTCACCCTTGTTCCCGTCTCCGAACTAAGATACGAATTGCCACTTGATTGCTGAATTTTTTATAACAGAGAGCCAAAGTGTGTCAAAGCTAAGGAATGGGGGACAGTATAAAAAACAGAAAAGAGGCAAACATAAAATTAGCTTATAACTTTATATAGCTCTTGCATGAACAAAAGGATAATTTATCCACAACTCACTTTCACAGATAGAGCAAGTGATAAGGACACAGCACCCCTTAATCCAGACCACGTGAGTATGATGGATTCCTTCCAATCTAAGCCATAGCCAAAACGACGTAGCAATGGGTACAGAACTCCAACCATGACACAGCGGGATAGTTGGACATACAAGTATAAGAGGAAAAGAAAGCCCCACGAGGCTCCTGATAAGAAAAGGCTAATTGAGTCATGAATGTTCTTAAACCCAATATATGAAAACGAGAAAGCTTATGCAGGGATAATATCATAATATCAGTAACTAGTGATGTATCCAGGAAAAAAATAGATATTCTATACAGTCAAAGTCAAAATAATCAAGACAACATCAAACTCAAAGTGGAGTATCTTCTGAAAACAGAGCATAAACTAAATTCGGGTGGAACGAGGAAAAAAAAAACTAAATTCGGAACATCAAATGTGAAAGGCACCTTCGTAAGATATTTTCCGACTGCTAAAGTCACCTTCAGCGATAATAACACCACTGCAGTTCACAAGAGAAACAAATGCAATGTGTATCAACCAGCTATAACATTGACATTAGTATAGCAAGAGTTCATAACAGATAAAAGACGAGCCATTCCAAATACTATTACCTGAGTATAAAAACTAATGTATTTGCAATATAAGCGACCATTTCCCTACAAAATCAAGAGAAAAGTTACCTATTTACATATACATTCAAATAATTTCAGAAATCTAAGTTGTAAATTACCAGAAGTGATGCAAACTCTGAAGGTTGTCACCCTTAAATGCTGTCCTTGCAAATGCAGCGAAAAACCTATTACAGTTATTATACCAAAAGTTACTTCTTAACACAGTGACAAAAGAAAGAAGGATAATTCACGACGACTTACATCCCCAAAGTCATCACAGTCAAAATTCCAGAAACCCCAGCCCACTCTTGAGCCTGTACATAGTAGAAAACTCTTTAAGGATATCTAGAGATCTAGGATTCTCGCTTTGGAGATTAACGTGTGAAGAAGAGACCATACAGTAAAATATGCGAAATAGCTAATTGAAAGCGTTACAGTGATCTGAACCACTATGTCATTGAACACGAATCTAAGCCAAAAAACTGATGCAATGCCAAACGCTACACCAATGCCTACACTAAAAAAAAAAAAAACCAAACACCAGAATCTGAGAAAAAAGCACTGACACACGAAGAGGCACAAACAAAGGGAAAAAGAATTCATACGCTCCAAACGAGTTTTGAGCAAGAAATTTGATTATGAAACTCCAATCAGAGGTACCTCCCATCACCATCTTCAAGAATAACTGGAAGACTACCACTGATACCCTGAATTTATAAAACAATTAACGCTGAGCATAAATGACATACAGTCACCTTTAGATTGGGAACGTTTGAGATGATTACCCGTCATTCATCAAGGACTCCCCGTCAATTATAGTAGTCATCTTCTTACTAGCACCAAGCTCCTTTAGCAGAGCAACAACCGCCACAGGATCGGTAGCACCTAAAAGTGCTCCAAGCAACAACGACGTTTTCCAGTCCCAGTTATATGGAAACGTAAACTACAGGAACACAACCCAGTTACAACATAATGGACTACGATAGTCATTGTTCACGGTATCCATATCTAACGCAAACCTTCAAAAGAGAACCAATCCAAAACGTGGAAATCAAAACTCCAGGGCCAGCAAGCAGAACCATTTGTCCAAGACATCTCTACAAAGTACAAACAGTAGCAAGAACCAAAACTGACAAATAGTATCTCAAACTCATAGACTTTATGAAAGTAAAACGCCACCTATAAGATAGGAAAAAACAACCTTGATCTGGTGTACATCCATTGAGAATGAGCTCTCAAAAAGAAGAGCAGGGAGAAAAACCGCCAAAAGTAGGTCAGGGTTAATATCATTCCCTGTAAAAAGAAACCAAATAACGCAAGGATCATTTCATTTCCTGTTGTAAGTATTCTGAGCAGGCCAATTTTAGAGACTATAAACAATTTAATAAAGTTTTGGTTTAAACAATTTGAGTGTACACAATCAAACCCCCTGATTCTAAGTGGCCATTGTTCAAATCTCGTAAC